CAACCAGGAAAACGGTTTGTTGTGTTTGGGGCTGGCAAACTTAGAGGGGTTTTGTATGCATCCTTTGGTGCCAACCTTTGGGCCAGTTTGGCCGGGCTTGGCGGTCACCCTGGCAATTTGGCAAACCGGGTTCCGCTCTCTGCGTGTTGGTTATCCCAGAACAGCAATTATTGCATTCCAAAAGTGGAGAAACCAGAACCCATTTTTTTTTTTGCACTTTCCAATCTTTGCTTTTGCGTGGAAACTCAGGTTGGATCTACGCTGCCATTCAATCCAGTTTCTGAATCCAGATCATCTGATTTGAACTGGATGATACGAATATACTGCCATATTATCCAGTTCAATGTTCCTGGTTTGAAAGCATTATTTCCTGTTTGATTATGCAGTACTTACTATGGAAGTCATTGTTCTACAGCAGAAACTGAGCTTTTGCGGCTGCCACAAAGTATCCTGAATTGGTTGAGACTCAAGATATTCATTGAACAATTATAGCAAAATGCTGCAAGATGTCCCTCCTGCAAAATCAAAGTTTTGGCAGTTTAATAAACTTTGCCCAAGTTTTTATGATTAGGAAATCTGACATTTATGACCCAGGAACAAACATCATGTCACATAATGTAATCTGGACACTGTCCTCCTATGGATGCAACTTAGAATCGCATTGGCCTTTTTAGCTGCTGACTCGTGTCTGGCTTGTGGTCCTTGGCTCAATGCTGTGTGATGCTGGGACTTGTAGTTTGGAGAGTCTTGCAACGCTGCAACTACTTGTCGTTTGGAGAGTCTTGCAAAGATCTTGCAAAACTACAGCTCCCAGGATTCAATAGGGGGCAAAGCTGTGCCAGAAATATATTTGTGTGACAGCAATCTGTCCTAGTGCTAGAAAGAAAAGGTGAGACCCCAGTGACCCCATGTGACCTCTCTTCCCTTCCCTTCCCCGGGTCCTTTGGCTGTTCTCTTAATAACATTGCATCACTTTGTTTGGCGTAATAAGATCAAACCGGGCTCCTGGTTGCCGAAAGGCAGAGAGCGGTGCATTTTGGGAGCGACAGTGCATCGGCCACCACGTCAGTCCCTTTCAGTGGGACCTCATGCGACCTTGGGAGCCTTCTGCTGTGATTTTTGCAAGATTCTGCAGCAATTCTTTACATTTCTTTGTCAGATATCAAAAATATCACCACTATTCAAAACCATGGATGCATCCAAGTTAAATCAATGCACTTTGACAACCCTTGAATGGCCCAGGCTCAGTGCAATGGGACCCTGGGAGTTGTAGTTCAACCGTTTTAATTTTCAAGGGATGCGTTGGGGCCATGTTGAGTCAGGCCCCCAAACCCCTCCAGTATGGCCAGTTGCTGATCAGTGTATTCTCTCATCATTCTTAGCATTCTCTCTGAAAATGGCAGGCATCCTCAGAGGTCCCCACAACCTCTGAGGATACCTTCCATAGATACAAGCAAAACGTCAGGAGAGAATGCTTTGGGTCCATTGCCATACAGCCTGGAAAACTCACAACAACCCAGTAATTCCAGCCATGAAAGCCTTAAACAATACACTGATCAGCAACCAGAGGCGGCCCTAGGTAATTTTCAACGGTAAGCAAACAGTATTTTGCCCCCCCCCCCCTCAAACCAATCACTGTTATATATTTTCTGTTCATCGTGGGAGTTCTGCGTGCCATATTTGGTTCAATTCCATCATTGGTGGAGTTCAGAATGCTCTTTGATTGTAGGTGAACTATACATCCCTACAACTCGCACATGTCAAGTAACTACAACTCACACATGTCAAGGTCTGTTTTCCCCCAAGGGCGCCTCAAGAGTGCCCCTGGGCAAAATCAACTATACTGCGAATGCTTACTTGGCATAATGGTTGAGCCGCCCCTGTCAGCAACTGCTCATACTGGAGGCCTGACTAAACATGATGGAAGTTGTAGTTCACCCTGCATCAAGACAGAGCACTACGATCCCCACAGACAATTAATCTGGACCACATTTGGCACACAGAACTCCCATGACCAAGGCAAAATACTGGAGAGGTTTGGGAGGAATTCATATTGATTTATAGGAGTTTTAGGTACTGGGATGCTGATCAATTCCTGATCAATTATTGGTTTTTTTTTTTTTAAAATCCCGCTTTTTCTCTCCACAAGTGGCACCGGCCCTTTGGAAGAGATTCTTCCAGGGTGCATCCACTGTCGTAATTAATACAGTCTGATACCACTTTAACTGCCACAGCTCTATGCTTTGGAATCGTAGGAGCTTGTAGTTTTGCAGAGCCTTTCACCTTCTCTGATGAGGAATTTGAAACCACAGCTCCTGGTGTCCCATTGCATCAAGCCACGGTGGTGAAAAGTAGGATCAAACTGCATTAACTTTACAGTGTAGGTCCAAATTAAAACCGGAGTGGATTCGCAGAAACCATCAGGGTCATGGGTGGTGCTTTGATGTTTATAAGGGAACGCTTTGCAGAGAAAGGGATGAGAACCAAAGCCAAGTGGGAGCCATTGCTTGCACACTTGCCACCCACATTGACTGTTTTGCATGCTCATTTCAATGCCCATCATTCCCACCCTTCTTCCTTCGCTGTCAGTAAGATGGATGGCTGCTCTTTGCTGCTGACCTTGTGATGGGGCCTGCGTTCCCCCTTTTTCTCTTGGAAGAAGGCAGCAAAGGCGAAATCCAATGGCTCTCCGGAAGGAAGAAGAGGCCTGACCGCATTTGCAAATGGATGGCCGGCCGGATGGAGGGTCCCGGGGGTTCTTCCGCACTGCCACTACAACTGCACTTTAGCTGCCATGGCAACCACAGACCATGCAGCACCGGGATTTGCAGTTCAGATACTTGGGATTTATATTCTCTCCAAACTTCCAAACATTACTCTTCCCAAACTTTGGGCTTCCAGCTGCTTTGGACTTCAACTCCCATTATCCCTGACTATTGGGGCTTCTGGGAATTGAAGTCCAAGGCAACTTATTATTATTATTATTATTATTATTATCATCATCATCATCATCATCATATTTATTGATTTATATCTCGCTTTATCTCTCTCAAAGAAGACTCAGGGCAGTTTAACACGAAAGCCTTAGTAGAAAATTTAAAATATACAAATATGCAAACTTTAAAATAGAATTAAATATAAACAGTATTTATTTATTTAAAACTTTTATATCCCGATCTTCTCAACCTCTATACCCATTAAAACATATTCAAAGTATTATTATTATTACTAGCTTGCCCAGGTTATTTGAAAAAGTTGATTTTTAATTAAAATGCATAAGGTTATGGGTGAACTACAACTTCCATCATGCCAGGTTAACCCTGAAAAATTCCATCAGAACTTCAAATTTGTTATGTTGAACAAGTTTGCTCTAGATGTATCATTGGTGGGGTTCGCTGTGCTCTTTGACTGTAGGGTAAACTACAACTCCCACTATGGTGAGTCAGTCCCCTCAAACCCCTCCAGTAGGTTGAGTTAGTCATGGGGTTCTGTGGGCCAAGTTTGGTCCAGCTCCATCATTGGTGAAGGTCACAGTTTCTCTGGTTGTGGGTGAATTACAACTCTCAGAAAGGAAGGCCAGTTCCCCCAAACCCCTCCAGTAATCACATTTTGGCATATCAGATATGTGTGTCAAGTTTGGTCCAGATCCATCAGTGTTTGGATTCATAGTGCTCTCTGGATGTAGGTGAACTACAACTCCCCCAAATCAAGGTGAATTTCCCCTAAAGGCCTCCAATATTTTTTGCTCGTCACGGGGGCTTTGTGTGCCAAGTTTGGTCCAATTCCATCTTGGGTGGAGTTCTGGGTGCTCATTGATGGTGAGCTATAAATCCCAGTACCTACAACTCCAAATGTCCAAGCCAATTCCCCTCAAAATTTGGGCATATTGGGTATGCATGCCAAGTTTGGTCCAGATCCATCATTGTTTGGGTTCATAGTGCGCTCTGTAGGTGAACTACAACTCCTATAAATCTCTCCAAAGACCTCCAGTATTTTTTGTTGGTCATGTGGATTCTGTGTGCCAAGTTAGTTCCAGGTCCATCATTGGTGGAGTTCAGAGTGCTCTTAAATTGCAGATGAACTATACATCCCAGCCCTACAACATCTATAAACCATTGTGAAGTCTCCCCAAACCTCTCTAGTATGTTCAGTTGCTGACCAATTACTCTGTTTGCTGTGTGCTATGGGAAAGGCAGTGGGCAGGGTCATGCAAATTCCACACCAATGGAGAGAGGAAGAAACACTGGGATGCCTTTGGTGGAGGAAACATATAAAATCTAGGATAAAATTGTCCCCATATGAAAGCCTTCACTTGGGTGGCAGGCAGTATGGTGTTTGTGGAGGACATCGGCAGGGCTCTTGTACATGTTTACGGTGCTCACTATAACCTGCAATGTTATTAAAGGGAGGGTCTATGGTGTCTCTTGAGTAGTGGAAGCTATAGCTGTTTGTGGAGGCAGGAGCTTGTCTGTGTAAGTGGACACCCCACCTTCGTACACACAGACATATATTTCTCTTTTATTATGTGTATATATTGTTGTTGTTGTAGTATTTATATATATGGTATATTTATATGTATAATCTAAATTATAAATGTGTATATTTGATGTCTTGGATTGTATCATTTTTAAAGGTATTGAATTTTAATAAGCCGGATCCATATGCTGATAGTTTTGTATAGTATATTTATATTATATTACAGTTATTTGTTTGTATGTGGATGGCATTAATAAGCTACACACAACTACCAAGGTACCAAACCCCATTCCTATTACTTAGTGCAGGGCTTTGGAGAGCTCTTCGAGAGCCAGCCAAAACCTAGACTGGGTTCTCTGCACCACTGACATGAGAATAACTCTATGTACTATAGTTGGGGCTGAGCAATAGGGTTTGGGCTGAATAAATATCCCAAAATCTTGGTAAACAATCTAAAGGAGTCCTGAGTTTTGCTTGTTTCTTCTGCTTCTTTCACCTGCCTTTTTCTATCTCCTTTTCCGCAGAGCTCCTGGGATCCACCAAGAGAGTGAATGTCAATTTCCAAGACACAGATGGGTAAGATAATAATAATAATAATAATAATAATAATAATAATAATAATATCATATTGTGAAAATTTGTTCTGTCTGTGGTGTTTGGGAGCCCCCGGTGGCACTGCAGATCAAACCGCTGAGCTTCTGGACTTGACTGAAAGGTCGCAGGTTCGAATATGGGGAGCGGTGTGAGCTTCCACTGTCAGCCCCAGCTTCTGCCAACCTAGCCATTCGAAAACATGCAAATGTGAATGTATCAATTTTGGCAGGAGGGTAAGAGCGCTCCATGCAGTCATGCCGACCACATGACCTTGGAGGTGTCTATGAACAAAACCGGCTCTTCGGCTTAGAAATGGAGATAAGCACCAACCTCCAGAGTCGGACACAACTGGACTTAATGTCAGGGGACAACCTTTACCTTTACCTTTACCTGTGGTGTTTGTAAGGATGGAGTGAGGATAATTAGAGTGACATTAGACATAGGTAGAGGTCAGAAATTCCCTCAATTATATCATCTTTCTTCTTTCTTTCTTTCTTTCTTTCTTTCTTTCTTTCTTTCTTTCTTTCTTTCTTTCTTTGGTGAGTTGGTTTGGGATCATGCACTAAAGCTGATGTTCAGGGCAGCATAAAGAAGTTCTTGCAGGAGGTTGGGCTAGATGACCTTTGGGAATCCCTTTCACTTTGATTGTAACATCCAATGGTTCCTCCCATGGGGTGCATCTACACTGTAGAATGGGTGCAGTTTGATGCTGTTTTAATTGCCACGCCTCAAGGCTATACCATCTTGGGATTTGTGGTTCTGCAGCATCTGAATCCTTAGAGCGTCAAAGTACAACTCCCAGGATTCCCTATTATTATTGGTGCCCAACTGCATTAATTCCGCTTCGTAGATGCATCCGTAAATGTGCAGCCAAGCTGTGGAATGCACTGCTGTAAGATAATAGATATTTCCAGCTGCTTAGAAATCTTTCAAGGAAGACATTCTTTTCTTGGCACGTCCCATGAACCTTTAAAGAAGAAGAGAGACATTAAACAAAAGCCCAAAAGAGTCCTTCCTTTTCCTTTCTCTTTTTTCCCTTTTCCTCCGGATTATGAGGCTTCAAAAGCTTCCGGCTTCCATCTGTTCCAGACCTGTTTCCTTCTCTTCCTTTCCCAAGATGAAGGGAAGCGGCTTTTGCTTTCTCTCTTCCTTTTTTCCCCCTTCTTCTTCTTCCCTCTCCATATTTCCAAGAACCCACTTTTGGTGCGGAGGGAGAGGAGCATCATCTCTTTGCTTTTCCACTCCTCTCTCTCCTCTTCTGATCCTCATCTGTTGGCTGCCATCTAATGATTGCCGGCGAAGAGCCAAGTCTCTTTGCTGCTTTCTAGCTCCCTCTTTCCCTCCCTTCTTCTTCTTCCCATTAAATAAACACAGGGAGAGATGGAGAGACTCTCTCTTCTTGCCTTTGGGCAGGTGCCGGCTCTTCTTCCCAGCTGCCAGCCTCTCACTCGAATGGCACGTAGGAGCCGGCACTGCAATGAAGCCACCGCCTCCACGGAAGGCTCTTTGGACCACGCAAAGGGAGGGAGGGAAGGACAGGATTTTTGGGGGGAGTCTTGGCTTCAAGGAAAGGGTCGGAAGAAAGGCTGCCTTCTTTCCAGCAAAGTATAGCAAGGACGTGAGGGTCTAAGCCCAATTTAAGGTGCAGGTGCTTACCTACAAAGCCCTGAACGGTTTGGGACCACCCTACCTGCGTGACCGCATCTCCGTCTACGAACCCACGTGTTCACTTTGGTCATCTGGAGAGGCCCTGCTCGTGATCCCGCATGCGTCACAAGCGAGCTTGGTGGGGACTCGAGACAGGGCCTTTTCTTTGGTGGCCCCCCGACTCTGGAACGCCCTCCCAAAAGATCTTAGACAGGCCCCTACACTGGCAGTCTTCAGAAAGAACTTGAAGACTTGGCTGTTCCAATGTGCCTTCTCAGATTAGGAATCTCCAATACCAAGTCCTAGAAGCACTTTAGTAGAACTAAGATTGCTGCACACCGCACACTGCACTTACTTTATAATCCTACATACCTCCTGCCACATCAGCACTTTTAATCTTGTACCCATTACTCTGGCCCGGCCCAGTTTTATAGTGTCTTGATGTATTGTTTATTGTTTGTTGTTATACTGCTTAACTGTTTTTTAATTTGATTTAGGTATTGTATTGTTGTATTGTGTTTTGAGGCCTTGGCCTATGTAAGCCGCATCGAGCCCTTCGGGAGATGCTAGCGGGGTACAAATAAAGTAATAATAATAATAATAATAATAATAATAATAATAATAAGCCAGTGTTTCTCAACCTTCTTAATGTCATGACCCCTTAGTACAGTTCCTCATGTTGTGGTGACCTCAAGCATAAAATTATTTTTGTTGGTGCTTCATAATTGTAATGTTGCTACTGTTATGAATTGTAATATAAATATCCAATATGCAGGATATATTTTTATTCACTGGACCAAATTTGACACAAATGCCCAAATGTGAACACTGGTGGAGTTTGGGGAAAATAGACCGTGACATTTGGGAGTTGTAGTTGCTGGGATTTATAGTTCACCTACAATCAAAGAGCATTCTGAACCCCACCCACAATAGAATTGGGCCAAACTTCCCACACAGAACTCCCATGCCTTGAAGCGACTTGCTGGTGCGAGCCTCCCTCCAGCCACACACACTCTCCCTCGCCTGCCCATGTGCATTGTGCTCTCCCTTCTCTGCTTGGAGTCTCAGAAACAGCCCTCCCCTTGGCTGAGAGACCAGCCAATCACAGCAGGAGAAGAGCTTTTGGTAAGAGGATTCACCAACTGTTTACAAAAAGGAAGAGAAGGACAAGCGGAGAGATCCTCAGCCTTCTCTGCCAATGTATGTTTTCAGGTGGACTTTGGCGACTTCTCTGAAACCCCCTTACAACACCCCTCAGGGGTCCCAAACCCAGGTTGAGAAACACTGGTCTAAGCCAAAAGGAAAGCGGGTCCGAAGAAATGCCTTCCTTCTAGGTGGGATAGCAAGAACTTGGGGGTCTCAGCCACAAGGAAAGGGGGTCCAAAGAAATGCCTTCCTTCTGGGTGGGATAGCAAAGATTTTGAGGGGTGCCAGTTGCAAGGAAAGAGATGGAATTGAAATGCTTCTTTTTTGGAAGAAAAGTTGCCTTCCCCAGCAAAGTATCGCAACAATTGGGGGTCTCAGCACAAGGACAAAGGGTCCAAAGAAATGCCTTTTTTTAAGGGTAGGATTTGGGTGGGTCTTGGTTGCAAGGAAAGGGATGGAAGAAAGACTGCCTTCTTCCAGCAAAGGATAGCAAGGATTTGGGGGGTTTGGCCACAAGGAAAGGGGGTCAGAAGAAATGCCTTCCTTCTAGGTGGAATAGCAAGGATTTGTGGGATGACAGGACAGAGATCTTTGGACGAAAGAAGAGTCTTTGTAGAGGGGAGAAAGACCAAGATTTTGGGGGGTCCCAGCTGCAAGGAAGACTTTAGAACAGTGGTTCCCAACCTTTTTTTGACTAGGGACCACTTTGACTAGGGACCACTTGAACAGGGACCACTTTGACCAGGGACCACTCTTCAACCTTAGTACCAAAAAGGTTACAAATCAATTTTTGGTCAACTTTAGATTTGGTTTAGTTATTTGGGGTGCAGATTCAGAAAATTGCATTGGCTAGACCACATCAGCTCTAGTTTCTGATACAGAACATATACCGTGCAGTAGTCGCCATGTGCTCACCCACAGAAAACCATATTTAATCATCTAGAGTTGCGGACCCACAGGTTGGGAACCACTGCTTTAGAAGGAAGGCAAAGTATAGCAAAGATTTAGGAGAGGGATCTTTCTTTTAGGCAGACTAGCTGGGAGATTGGGGGTCTTGGCTTCAGGGATGAGGCATCAGAATAAATGCCTTCTTTTTTGGGAGGATTTGGGGGCTTGTAAGGACACGGATAGGAAAAAGGCTGCCTTTTTGGAAGAAATGCTGCCTTCTTCCAGGGAAAATAGCAAGGATTTGGGGGAGTCTCAATTGCAAGGAAAGGAGATCTGAAGAAATGTTTCCCTTCTACATGGAATAGCAAGAATTTGGGGAGTTACTTTGGAGGCAGGATGGAGAACGAAGGAGACTGTTGGGGTGCAAGACAGTTTCTCGCTGCCTGCAATTAACATTGCCTCGTTTCTGGATTTGCCCCAAAACGGAGACTTGAGGCAGCTTGCAGGAACAGGATCCACTGCAGACAGAGACATGTGCAAAAGCGCTCCCCAAAGTACGAATTCAAATGCAATTAAAACAAATGAAAAGCAACCAAAAGTGAAAGCCAACGGAAGAGCACAGCGTACCTTTCTGATTGGGATGAGCAACCACTTATGTTGCTGGAAAAAGATTTTCATGATGTTGAGGACCATAAAAAGCAGGCTTGGGGCCACATATAGTCCCAGGGGTTTGTTTTAAATGCATTTTGTCCCTGGAGAGCTCTCAGGGGTGTTTCCCACGTAGGACATTTGGGGACGGAAATAGCTAGGGATGCTAAAAGTTAGGTTTCGTATCCCTTTTCCTGGAAAGAGTCCCAATGTTGGCGGGTCTGGCCCTATTGCTATTCTGGAGGATGAAAAAATAGCAATATCATGCAGCGGGTGCCTTCCTTCCTGCTCCTGTGCTAAATCTGGCAATTCTTAAACTCTCCCTTGGCTGGTTTATGTCTCCAGAGGCCGATTCGGGGCTTTTATGGAAATGTTTGGAGACCAGGCAGGGTCTGCATGCCTCTCCTCAAACACACAGCTCTGGAGATCTGATTTATGGAGCCCCCCTTTCCCCTCCTCTTGCACCAGGGATCTTCATCTTGTCTCCATGGAGGGCCCCATCCGTTTTTATTATGGTTGCCTTCAAAGGTTGCTAAATCCATGTGAAGGCGACATGGAAGGAGAGTATGCTCTTTAGTTTCTATCCAGTTTGGGTCCTCAGATGTTATTGGATGTCAACTCATGGATATGTGTTGTCAAAGACTTTCACGGCTGGAATCATTGGGTTGCTGTGACTTTTTTTGACTGTGTGGCCATGTTCCAGCTGCATTCTCTCCTGGCGTTTCACATGCATCTGTGGCTGGAATCCTCAGAGGTCTGTTAGAGATGAGGCAAGTGGAGTGTACATATATCTGTGGAGTGTCCGGGGTGGGAGAAAGAACCCTTGTCTGTTTGAAGCAAATGTGGATGTTGCAATTAGCAAACTTGAATAGCATTTAGGGGCCATGAAGCTGCAAAGTCTATCAGTGAGGGTATCTGCATGGAGGTAAACTAGTCTTTGTTGCCTGGAGGCACCCTCTGTTTGGGAGGTGTTAACTGACATTTGATTGTTTGCTGTCTGGAGTTCTGCTGTTTCTGAGTGGTGTTCCTTAGATTCTGGTGTTTATTTTTTTTAATCTGGTTACCAGTATTAAAAAAACACCAGAATCAAGGCAGTAAATAAGGAACACCACTCAGAAATAAGAGAACTCCAGGAAGCAAACAATAAAGTGCCAGTTAACACCTTCCAAACAGAGGATGCCTCCAGGCAACAACAGCCAAGCTACCTCCATGCAGATACCCTCACTGATTGACTTTACAGCTTCATGTCTACTCAGTGCTATTCAAGCTTGCTGATTGCAACATTCACACTTGCTTCAAACAGACAAGGGTTCTTTCTCCCACCATGGACATTCCTGATATATACACACACACTCCACTTGCCTCATATCCAACAGACCTGTGAGGGTGTCATTAGCCACAGATCAGGCGAAATGTCAGGAGAGAATGCAGCTGGAACATTGCCATACAGTCCGAAACACTCACAGCAAATGCTTTTCAAACATTAAAAAGGTTCTTTTATTCCATTGCCAGTGAGGCAGGTTGCATTATTAGGCACTTCCAGAGAAAGAAAGTAGACATACAGAGTATAGCTACATTGGTTACACAAAGAAAAAAAAATTTGGGGGGGGGGGGGGAAGGAAGCATTCACAGACATATAAACATTTACTCTCCTTGCATACATTACTATCCCTTCTTCCTTCTACTGAAGAGAACCAAACATGGGCCAGACTGCGTTCCCTACAAATCTGCCATTCTGCGAATACATCATCTTCTCCATCCCTTGGAGAAAGCAGCGGGTGTACAGAACCTGCACTCCTGCAGATCTGAAAAACTTTTGGATAATAAAAAGGTTTCTTATATTGTATATTTCTGGCTGTTTTTGTTCCAAAAAGTTGTAAATTACTAACAGGTTGTTTTGCAGCTAAAACATGCTGACTCCATCAGTTCCCGACAGATGTTGGCTTTTCTTCCTTAACTGACGTTGGTTTAGGTTAGGAGCGTTGTTTGACTTCCTTAACTTGAAATAATCATTGTTCTTTGACTATGTAAACATGTTGTTTTCAACCAAGTGTTAATAATTGTCCCTGGTCATGTGAGAAAATGGATCAAAGTGGTTGAAGAGAAGGCATAATTATGGGAGTTGAAGTCCAAAACACCTGGAGGGCCGAAGTTTGCCCATGCTTGCTCAAGAGGGCCACTAAATGCTAATGGTTGCCAGAATCAGTCCAAAGAGGCAGGGGAATGTACCGGAAAATGATTGGAGGTGATGATGGATTATGTTTCTGCTCTTCTCGCAGGTTCTCCGCCCTGCACCACGCTGCCCTCAATGGCAACACAGAGCTCCTCTCACTGCTGTTGGAGGCCCAGGCGGCTGTGGACATCAAGGACAATAAAGGCAAGTGGTGGGAGGGAGGATGGCCCTAGAGACACACACACGTGCATGGAGGTATAGGCGTGTCTATCTGCATCTGTGTGTATATATCGTTATAGATAGATGTATAATATATGGATCTGGATATACATATGGATGAAGATATGGATTTGCGTAATGGATAGGTATACATATGGATACACTATGGATATAGACATGGATATTGATATGGATACACTATGGATATCGGCATTGATATGGGTACAATAAAGATATGGATATGGATACAGTATGGATATTGATATGGATACAGTTACAATATGAATATGGATCTAATATGGATATGAATAAATATATAGATATGGATATGATATGGATTCAGTATGGATATAGATATTGATTTTCATATGGATACACTATGGATCTGGATAAAATATAGATATGGATACAATATGGATATGGATAAAAATATAGAGATGAATATGGATATAATATAGATATAGAATATGGATACAATATAGATATGGTTATAGATATGTTTTTTATATGGATACAGTATTGAGCTGGATATAGATGTGGATACATTATAGATATGGATAAAGATATGATATGAATATGGATACAATTTGGATATGGATAAAGTATGGATTTGGATAAAGGTATAGATATGGATACATTATGGATAGAGATACAAAATGGATATGAATATGGATCTGGATAAAGATATAGATTTGGATATGAATATGGATATAGATATGATATGGACACAATATGTATATGAATATGGATATAGATATATAGATATGAATACTGAGATATGGATATAATATGGATATGGATAATTATATGGATACAAAATGGATATGAATACAATATGGATATGGATAAAAAGATATGTGGATATGAATCTGGATACGATGTGGATCTGGATAAAGATATAGATATGGATATGGATACAATATGGATATGAGTATGGATCTGGATATAGATATGATATGGATATAATATAGATATGAATACAATATGATATATAGATCTTGATATAGATATGATATGGATACAATATGGGTATGAATACAATATGGAGCTGGATAAAGATACAAATATGGATATGGATACAATATGGATATGAATCCGATATAGATATGGGTATAGATGTAGATATCCACACCTACATATATATGGCTGTCCTCTGCTATTGCATGGTGCCGTCCCACCTTAGAATGGCATGCGGTGGGAAACTGCTCCGTCTTCTCTGCTCACCATTTGCCCCTTTTCCGCCCAGGGATGCGTCCCTTGCATTACGCAGCCTGGCAGGGCAAGAAGGAGCCCATGAAGCTGGTGCTGAAGGCCGGCTCCTCAGTGAACATCCCCTCTGACGAGGGGCAGATCCCGTTGCACTTGGCAGCTCAGCATGGCCATTACGATGTGGTGAGTAGCCCATGGAAGCAGTACAAAGTGAACTCAAGCCTTGCACAGACCGGCAGAACAGAGATGTAGAAAACACTGCAAGCCTCCCATCACACACTCAAACACAGGTATGGTTTGCAGAAACCATATTTGTGTTTGAGTAGTAGGTTAAAGGTGCAAAGTATATACAATATAATAGAAATAATAGCATTGTAATGTAATAATACTAATATATTATATATGATTTTAATATAATGTTGTAGTATAATATATACATTACACTACCAGTATATTATACTATTAGTATTATATAATATATTGTATAATATATATACAATATATTATATAATCCTAATAGTGTAATATATTGGTAGTGTACTATATATATTGTGGTATAATAATATAGTACTATTAAAATATTACAAAACATTGTTAAATATTATTACAAAGCACTATAAAATATTGTTATTCCAAAACACTATTAAATATTCCTATTCTTATTACAAAACTCTATGAAATTATTATTATTGCTAATACAAACACTATTATGGGGGTCTTACTATATCTACAAATGTTCTAGTCCTCAATGAGAAAGGGTATCACAACACAGTAAGAAAATGTGCAATGGTCAGAATCCCATAAATGCAGAAATTTATTTACTGTATTTGTATCCCGCCTTTTTCTACCCCGAAAGGGACTCAAGGCGGCTTTACATATGGCAACTATACAATGCCTTTGGACAACAAACAGTTAAAATACAGTTAAGTTAAAAAATTAAAATTAAATGCACATTAAAACATATAAAATTATTAAAATCACGCCATCCTCAATCATAATCCCAGAAACCCATCTCTCTAGGCATTTTCTAGGTCCTCCAGGTAATTCTATGGTACGCTTCCCTTGGAAGTTAGCATGAAGTTCTATTAGGGGACCTAGAAAAGTCAGTGGCTGCAAGTACATAAATTAGGCTGGGGAATCGAAGGAGTGGGGGTCCTGCTTTTGGACCATGGGTGCCATACATGTCTACCGCTAACAACCTGTTGTTTCTCTATGTGCCTCTTCTCTGTTGGACAGTCGGAGATGCTTCTCCAACATCAGTCCAATCCGTGCATTTTGGACAATTCTGGAAAGACGCCGCTGGACTTGGCCTGCGAATTTGGGCGCGTCGGGGTAAGTCCAGGGAAATGGGGGTGCCATATGGATCAAGGGCATACATAGCCTCCTCATTAAAGCCTGCCTTGGATTATATTTTTTTTCATGTCAGAAGCGACTTGAAAAACTGCACTAGTCCTCAATGAGAACCAACCTGGATTATAATGGGTGGTGGGAGGTAATTTCTGTTCCTCCATCTCTTGCAGGTGGTGCAGCTGCTCCTCAACAGCAACATGTGCGCAGCCCTCCTCGAACCCAAACCCGGGGACATCACCGATCCCAACGGCACCAGCCCCTTGCATTTGGCAGCTAAGAATGGACACATCGACATCATCCGGTGCGTCCCTTCACCTCTGGCGGAGGAAGGAGCAGAGTGGGCAAAGGCCCTATGTGCCGCATGTGGGGCAGGGAGGGGCCCAGGCTTTGTAAATTCTATCCTACATTTCTTTCTCTGAAAATGGGGTGCATCTTGGAATTGCATGTGTATATCTGATGTATTTTTGTTGCTCATTGGTACTCCTGAAATTCGGAGGCGTTTTACAATTGATGGCCTCTTATCATGGAAGAAATGGACTCTCAATCCAGAAATCTCCAAGCACATCCAAGGGGATTCTTTGGGACTTGGCTTTGCTTGGGTGTCATAGTCACTGGGCAAGTGACCATTCTGGCTTGGAAAGATTGAGTGTATTTCTTCAATTGTAAGATGCCGTTGATTGTAAGATGCAGAATAAAATAATAATAATGATAATGATGTTAATAACTCTTCCTTGGGGAAAAGGGAATCCTTCATAGCTTTGCTGTTTTCCTTGATGGAACCGTACTAATTCTGCTGTCCTGGGCTCACAATATAAACAACAATCATTATTTGCTACTGTTATTTGTTAAGGAGTAGTAGTAGTTGTTGTTATTATTATTATTCCTCCTTGGGGAGAAGGGAATACTGCACAGTAGTAGGCCTAATCCTTGCCTTGTGTTCCCTTTGCCACCAGCCTCCTCCTCCAAGCTGGGATTGACATCAACCGGCAAACCAAGGCCGGCACTGCTTTGCACGAAGCTGCCCTTTGCGGCAAGACGGAGGTGGTGCGGCTCCTCCTGGATGTAAGTGCCCCATCGACCTCACGGATCTGGAGATACCATCCCAACATCACCCTCATTCCCAGTTTCACCATTCACCACCAGTAAGGTTTTGGAGTCATTCCTAATCTGGATACCGTCTAGCCATCTGATAATTAGTTGGATATGTTTCATTGGATAACACAAACTTTTCCTTCTACAACAGGCATGGGGAAACTTGAGCCCTCCGGGTGTTTTGGACTTCAACTCCCACCATTCCTAACAGCTTCAGCCCCCTTCCTTTTCCCCCTCAGCTGCTTAAGCGGCTGAGGGGGAAAAGGAAAGGGCCTGAAGCTGTTAGGAATGGTGGGAGTTGAAGTCCAAAACACACGGAGGACCCAAGTTTGCCCATGTCTGATCTAACCCCAAAGCCTTCTTTGGAGGCTTTGAAAACAGAGCCTGGATGGCCATCCGCCGAGAGTGTTTTGATTGTGCATAAACGCAGAAAGGGGGTTGGACTAGATGCTCTTTGGGAGTCTCTTCTAAGTTATGGGTCATAATTTCCTCTTTTCCGGCTCAATTTTCTCTCTTTTTTTGCAGAGCGGAATCAATGCTCACATCCGGAACACTTACAGCCAGACAGCGCTGGACATCGTCAACCAGTTTACGGCCACCCAAGCCAGCAAGGAGATCAAGCAGATGCTGCGAGGTGAGGATTGCAACTCCCATCATCCACAGTATACCTTGAGGAGCGATGGGAGGTGCAGTTTCCCCACATCTGGGGAGGAATGCAGACTGCCCAGCTTTGACCAATGGGACACTGGGACGTAGTAATGGGAAGCCTGTTTCAATGACGGAAAGAGAAAGACAGGGATGTTGACCAGAAGAATGGCTTATAACGCTTCTATGGAGCTCTGTCTCCATCTAGTGTTGTATAAGCTACATTGCTCTACCTCTGACTCATTCACTATGTTCCACAATTTTTGTTCCTGGGTTGTAAATGTCATTTCCTAATTGGTTCTGTCATAAAAACATGGCTGTTGTAACCATTGTTGACAGTTTCCCATCCAAATCATAACCAGGTCAGGCCTGCTTAGCTTCCAAGAGCAGTTGGGATTTGGTACCTATGGGGCATTTAGGGTGATAGGAAACCATGAATCCCAGGTCCAATGGTTGCCGCTTTCTGCTCTTTCCGCCCAGATGCCTCTGCCGCTCTGCAGGTCCGGGCTGTCAAGGATTACTGTAACAACTATGACTTGACCAGCCTCAATGTGAAAGCTGGGGACATCATTACGGTGAGTCTGCCCCAGTGCTATTCCCATCCCAGGTAGGTAGCTTTGGGCATCAAACCAAGGACAGGCAGGAAACTACCCCCAAAAAGAGCATGGGTTGGAAAAACCATGTGGAAATGAATGGCTGCAATGCTTTCCACTGCGTAACTCCATGTGTCCTTAGCAATATCATGGCTCTGCCTTAAAAGCAGCAATTCTCAGATCAAATTTTGCTATGTCTCCTTTTTTGTTGGAAGACACATCTCATTCGGCAGAAGGCCGACCAGTCGACTTGCTATCATGAGTTTTGAATTATATTCTATTGCCATTATATGTTCATCCTGTATCTGTGTTTGGTGTAAGTTTTTAAAATATATATTTGTGTTTTTATCTTATGTTCATTTGTTTTTGAATTTGTTGTATCCCACCTCAGAAGAGGTGGGTATTAAATAAATTGTATATTATTACTGGATTATAATTAATAGATTAATATTACTGTTACATAATTATTGTTATTATTATTGGGTTATTATGTATAGATTATTATTTTACTGACACAAAAACAAAGTATGTCACAGAAAACTAGATATATGGTATATGATGGATTTCATATCACAATTATTATTATTATTATTATTATTATTATTATTATTATTATTATTGGATTATTATTGTTATTGTTGTTCTTGTTATTAGTCCTGGCAAACATATCCTAATGCACATTAGATACCATAGATGTGCATTGGCACTTTTTAATGTACCAATGCACTCCAGGTTTGGCCAATACCCAGTGATGTAGCCAGGTTACTCACAAGAACGCCCATGAAATGCCATATAACACCAGTGCTGCAACATTTACATTGGCTTCCAACTGAGTACCGTGGCCTGTATAAGATGCTAGTTCTGACCTTTAAAACTCTTTACGGCCAGGGTCCATTGTACCTTAGGGACCGCCTCTCCTTTTCCCATCATCAGAGGTCGCAACGACCAGCCCAACGTGACTTACTCCATATACCGGGTCTTAGAGAAGTGCACTTGGAAAGGACCAGACGCAGGGCTTTTTCTGTTTCTGGCCCTGCCTTGTGGAATTCCTTGCCGCCCTACATGAGAGCCATGTGTGACTGAGGGCCTTTTACTCTCGCACTTAAGACCTGGCTTTTTACTAGAGCATTCGATCTCTGTTGATTTTTAATTTTTGTATGTATGTATTTTATCTTTTGTAATTTAGCTGTAAATCGCCTGGAGCATTCTCGGATGGAGGGCAATTAATAAGTTATTAAATGATGATGATGATGATGATGATGATGTCCAACGAGCATCAGTCATGATTGGCATTGGTCTCCAATTGCAAAGTCCCAGCAAGCATATCCCCATGCACATTGGACATCATGAATGTGCATTGTTACTCTTGCACATTCATGGCGTCCAATGTGCATGACATATTCCTGGCCAATATTCCTGGCAAGCATATCCCCATGCACATTGGACACCATGAATGTCCATTGATACTCTTGAATGTTTCAATGCGCTCCAGGGTTGGCCAATACCCAGTGATGTCCAATGGGCATCAGTCCTGATCGGCATTGGTCTCCAATTGGAAAGCCCCAGCAAGGTGTCCCATCATCATCATCATCATCATCATCATTATTCCTGGAAAGCATAGCCTCATGCACATTGGACACCATGAATCTGCATTGATACTCTTGAATGTACCAATGCGCTCCAGGGTTGGCCAATACCCAGTGATGTCCAATGGGCATCAGTTCTGATTGGCATTGGTCTCCAATTGGAAAGCCCTAGCAAGTTGTCTTCTTCTTCTTCTTCTTCTTCTTCTTATTATTATTATTATTATTATTATTATTCCTGGAAAGCATATCCTCATGCACATTGGACATCATGAAGCTGCATTGATAATCTTGAATGTACCAATGCGTTCCAGAGTTGGCCAATACCCAGGCCTGATTGGCATTGGTCTCCAATTGAAAAGTCGCAGTAGGTTGTCCTATTTATTATTATTATTATTATTATTATTATTATTATTATTATTATTATTATCCCTGGCAAGCATATACTCATGCACATTGGACACCATGAATGTGCATTGATACTCTCTAATTTACCAATGCACTCCAGAGTTGGCCAATACCCAGTGATGTCCAATGGGCATCAGTCTTAATTGGCACTGATCTCCAATTGCAAAGTCCTGCAAGTGTTTCCCAATATGCATTAAACTGTATGGATGTACATCAGCACTCCTCAATGAATGCATTAAACTCTATGGCTGTGCACCAATACTCACAATGGGCATTAGCCTTCCTTGGCATTGATTTTGGATTGCAAAACGCTAGCAAGTGTCTCCTGATGTGCCTTGGAGTATGTTGATGTGCTGTGACACTCCTCAATGTGCCAATGACATCAATGCTCAGTCTTGATTGGCAGTGGTTCCCAAAGCCCTGGCAAGCATATCCTCATGTGCATTGGATCCTGTGAATGTGCATTGACACTCTTTTAATGTATGAATGCACACTTTGGTGCACAATAGGCCATGGTGCCCAGTGGGCACCAATCCTGTCTTGTCTATTATATGTCATCCTGCCTTTTCCATAGTTGGAAATGAAATATGGCTGATGATATGAATGTCTTCAGGTGTTGGAGCAGCATGCTGACGGCCGGTGGAAAGGCTGTATCCATGACAACCGGACTGGGAATGACCGTGTGGGCTACTTCCCCTCCAGTCTAGTGGAAGCCATCAGCAAACGCACTGGCAAGTCTTCTCCCCCCATTTTATTGATTTTAGTCAGCATTCAGGCTTCCCATATTGATCCACTTTCCCCCAGGATACACCTCTCTTCAGACCCAAAAATTAGGTGAAAGGGATTTGGGATTTTAGTGGACCACAAGCCAAACATGAGCCAGGAGTGTGATGCAGCAGCTGAAAAAGCCAATGCAATTCTAGGCTCCGGTTCTAGGCTGCATCAATAGGAACATAGTGTCATGGAAGGGGTCTGGAGAAGGGCCACCAACTGGAAGCCATGAATAATCCTTTTGAAGGGTGACTTTAAAGATCTGCATATGTTTAACATACGCAAAGAAGGCAACGATGGGATTTGAGAGCCATGTTTAAAATATTGGAAAGGATGGCATTCTTGAGCCTGAGATACAATGATGGCTTGTATCTAAGAGGCTTTCAGGGAAAGAGAACATTCAGAAGAAGTTCCAGATACTAAGAGCTGTTCAGTAGTGGAATATGCTTAATATAATCTCCTTCTCTAGAGGCATTTAAGGAGAGGCTGAGTGGCCATCTGTCGAGAGGGCTTTCATTGTGCCTTACTCCCTGGCAGAAAAGGGTCAGGCTGGATGGCCTTTGGGGTTCCCTTCTAACTATATTGGAAGTCCAGTGGAGCCTCTTTCTCTGAAAGCTGGGTGGCCATTTGTCAGGAGGGACTGGATGATGCCTTCTTTTATGACAAGGAATTGGGCTGGATGGCATATGCTTCTATTTGGGAGTCCAGTAGAATCTCCTTCTCTGGGGGCAGGGTGGCCATCTGTCTGGAGGAATTTCATGACATCTTCCTTTATGGCAAGGGGTTTGGCTGGATGGCCTTTGCGTGCATATGCTTCTATTTCAGAGTCCAGTGGACATTGCCTTCCTTTATGACAAGGGGTTGGGTTGGATGGCCTTTGGGGTCCTTCCAAATCTATCTGGTATATGCTTCTATTTTGAGTTCTGTAGAATCTCCTTCTCTCAAGGCAGGGTGGCCATCTGTCAGGAGGGATTGGATGGTGTCTTCCTATATGACAAGGGAGTTGGGCTGGGTGACCTTTGGGGACCCCTTCCAACTCTATATGGTATATGCTTCTATTTCAGAGTCCAGTGGATGGTGCCTTCCTTTACGACAAGGGATTGGGTTGGATGGCCTTTGGGGTCCCCTCCAATAGAAGCATATGCGTCTGTTTGGCAGTCTCGTGGAGGCAGGATGACCATCTGTCAGGAGTGATTGGATGGTGTCTTCCTTTATGGCAAAGGGTTGGGCTGGATGGCGTTTGGAGGCCCCTTCCAACTTTATTTGGCATATGCTTCTACAGTATTTGGCAGTCCAGTGGTTTCTCCTTCTCCTCTTTTAAGGAGAGGCTAGACTATTTATTTATTTATTTATTTGGGGTTCTTGTACCCCGCCCTTCTCACCCCGAAGGGGACCCAGGGCGGCTTACAACTGCAAGGCACACTTAGATGCCTGCCACACAAAACAATCATCACAAAAGTACAACAATTCAAGTTCCCACAATTCAGGCCATTATCCCAATAATGGGAGGGATTGGATGACACCTTCCTTTATGACAAGGGAGTTGGGCAGGATGGATTTTGGGGGCCCTTCCGTCTCTACGACTCAGTGAGCAGAGCGATAGCGGTGGAGCATTGCATTCTGCACTTGTAGAACATATTTGCACCCAGAACACTCCCGCTTCCCTTTGGGACTCATTTCACCTGTTGCTGCCTCTTGTCTTGTTGTGTTGTCTCTCCCTTTTGCCCCAGGTTCGTGGCAGGCCACCTCCCTCCTCCTCCTCCCGGCCTCCCTGCCCAACGGCCGGCCCTCCTCCTTCATCTCCACCATCATCTCCTCCTGTTCCTACTCCGCCTCCCATCATCCCCTGCCTCCTTCGCCTCCTTCTCCTCCGCCATCAAATCCCCATCATCCGCCTCCTTTCAGTTCCTTCGGCTACCGCCGGCTCCCCCACGGCGCCCTCGAAGGGCCCGCCGTCAACCCAGGTAGTCCCTCCATGGCTTGCCTCCATTTACCTTTTGTTTACCTTTATTTGTTTCATTGCACTTTTGAGTTTCCATCCCATTCCCCCGCCACTACTATCCTTTTCCCCATCCTTTAGAGATATTTTTGGGAGGGACTGAAAGTTGTAGTTTTGCAAGGCCTTCTCTGCCCAAAAGTGCAAACTACAACTCCCAGGATTCTGTACTTATCATGGTGTTGAATTGCATTCATCTATAAATGCAGCCTTTAATTGCAATGGCGTCCTCTTTAGCTTCCTCTTCCAAAGCATGCTGGTGCAAACTACAAATCCCAGGACTTCATAACATTGAGTCATGGCACTTTGAGTGGTGCTGAACTGCATTCATTCTATAGTATAGATCCAGCCTATGATTGTCGTGGCTCAATGCAATGAACCCCTGGGAGTTGTGGTTTCACAAGGTCTTTTGCTTTCTCTGCCTAAGATTGCCAAATGATATCTCACAGGCTTAGGTCTGCTACCCCTTCCACTGCCATGGCTCAGTGCTAGGGAATCCTGGGAGTTGTAGTTCCACAAGGAGTTGCAGTTTCCTGGGAGTTGCAGTTCCACAAAGATTTTAGCTTTCCCTGCCTAAAACTGTGAATGTCTTCCCAAACTATAACTCCCATCAGCTGTGGCTCAATGAAATCAAACCTTAGGAGTAGTAGTTCCACAAGGTCTTTGGCCTTCTCTGCCCAAGAGTGGAAACGCCACACCAAACTACATCTCCCAAGTTTAGGTCTCATATCCCTTGATCTGCCATTTCTCAATGCTGTAAAACTCTGGGAGTTGTAGTTCCACAAGGTCTTTAGTTTTCTCTGCCTAAAACTGTGAATGTCTCACCAAAATACATCTTCCAGATTTGTTGTGGCTCAATTCTAGGAAACCCTGGGAATTATAGTTCCACAAGGACTTTGGCCTTCTCTGCCCAAGAATGGGAACGCCCCACCAAACTACATCTCCCAAGTTTAGGTCTCATATCTCTTGATCTGCCATTTCATTTAGTTCCAAAAGGACTTTCGCTTTCACTGCCTAAAACTGAATTTCTCATCTCCCAAACTTGCTGTGGCTCAATACTATGAAATCCTGAGAGTTGTAGTTTCACGAAGTCTTTAGCCTTCTCTGCCAAAACGACACCTCCCAGGATTCCATAGCATTGAGCTGCCTTCTTGGGGGATGGATAAATAGTTGGCTGGCTGCTGGGAGGGGAGGTTGTGCAGAGCAGCACATTGTCTCCTTCCTCCCTTCACTGGGCCTGTCTCTTCTCCCTTCGCTGGGGTGACAACGGCGGCCCTTTTGCCCCCGAAGGCTCCCGAGGGTCCGATGCCAGCCCTTCCCACCTGTCACCGGGGGGACCCGCCTCTACGCCGGCGCCCGCCGAGGAGATCTGGGTGCTCCGCAAGCCCTACGCAGGTAAGACATGAGTCACACACTTTTGGCCCTTTTGGCAGCTCCTGGAGGCAATTGCAGAAATAAAAAGTGGGGAAACCCCTGGACCGGATGGGTTGTTGGCATGGTGCTGCAAGCCATTCAAGGAGGAACAGAGCTTGCCACCAGTTCCAAGAGATTTTTAATTCAATCTCAAAATGAGAGAAACCACCAAAGACATGGGAGGTTGCCAATGTTAGGAGTTGTGGACGTTGAAGTCCAAAACAACTGGAAGGCCAAAGTTTGCCCATGCCTGGATTAAAGAGTTGAATTCCCTGGAACAGAATGGGGCCCTTGGTATCAAGGACCTTCCTGACCCTCCCTTTCCTTCCTTTTGGCAGGTGGTGACCGCAGCAGTGTGGGCAGCACCGGAAGCGTGGCTAGTGGCCGGAGCACAGGAAGCGGCCAAAGCACCGGGAGCGGTGGCCACACGGCTCTCCATCCGGGTGCAGAAGGGGTCAAGGTGAGTGGCCTAGCACCTCCCTTCTCAGTTCTATCTGTATACAGGTAGTCCCTGAGTTACAAACTTCTGACTTACATACAACTCATAGTTAAGAATGGGGCTGAGACCACAGGAAGTGAGAGAAAGCTGCCTCTCGGAAGGGAAATCCACTCCTGGAAGAGTTATTATCATGGGAAAAAGACATCTCCACTGAAGCTTTAGCACCAATCCTTGTTTCCGCAACAAGCCAAATGTTTCAAAATCCAATTCTCAAAATGGACAGAAGGTGAGGTGAAATCATCTGAACAAGGACTCAGAGAGCAAAGCAAACACCACAAGGGTGTTAACCCTTCCTTATGCTGTCCAAAGCTAAAAGTATATATGTTTGGATGGAATTACACTGAAAAAATGGACCTGTTCCAACTTACAAACAGATTCAACTTAAGAACAAGCCTACAGAACCTCTCTTATTCGTAACTTGGGGACTACCTGTATTTCCTCTTGGGATCTCCCATCTAAAGATTGACCAGGCTCTCCTTAGAATCCTAGAGTTGGAAGAGACCCCTAAGGGCCATCCAGACCAACCCCCTTTTGTCAGACATGAAGACACCATCCAAGCCCTCCTGACAGATGGCCATCTGTTTCAAAACCTCCAGAGAAGGATGGATACTTTATTGCATTCCCATACACTCCACATTCCATTAGAGCTAACAGGGTCCTCCATATGCCAGCTAGTCCTATCCCATTGTGCCATAAAGGAAGATACCATTTAAAAACACTCTGGATAGTTGGCCATGCAGCCTCTACTTAAAATCTTTCAAAGGAGGATAGAAATGCCACTGGCAGTTTAAATGCCTGGCAGTTTATATTCCACTCTAGCTTGAAGAGAACCCCAAAGGCCACCTGGACTGTGTTCATAGAACCATACAATCATAGAATCCTAGGGATCCCCAAAGGCCATCCAGTCCAACCCCTTCTGCTAAGGAAAAAGACACCCTCTAACCTTTCCCGACAGATGACCATACAGCCTCTGAATAAGAGAATCCTAGAATTGGATGGGTTCCTTTCTACCAGACAGGAAATTAGAAATACTATATTATTATCCATTATCATCTATCATCATCATCATCTATCATCATCATCATCATATAACTGGAAGAGATCCACAAAGGTCATCCAGTCTTCCTTCTCCCAGATAGGAAGACATCATCTGATCCCTCCCAACAGATGGCCATCTAGCCTCTGAATCATAAAAGGCAACCCCCTTCTGTCAAGCAGGAAGATAGAATTACTATATTATTATCAATTGTCTGTTGTTGTTGTTGTTGTTGTTATTTGATAGTCACCAAGATAAGTACACAGCAAACGAGATCACTACGATAGTTTTTTTGTATTGGATCACATGTTGGACACTTCCCAAGTGTCTAAGACTGTGTGATGTATCGGCAAATAATCCATGCAAACGAGTAGGATGGCCTTTTGCAGTTGAAAGATGGTGATTTTGCAGCACCAATTGTTTTAAAGTACTAGCCAAGGTATTTTGGTACTGTGCCCAGTGTGCTGATCACTACTGGGACCACTTTTACTGGCTTGTTCCAGAGTCTTTGCAGTTCGATCTTTAAATCCTTATTATTATTATTATTATTATTATTATTATTATTATTATTAGTGGTAGTAGTAGTATCATCATCATCATCATCATCATCAGACTCATATAGTTGGAAGGGACCCCCACAGGCCATCCAACCCTGGAGGAAGGAGACTCCTCTGGATAGGTATTTGACTGCCAAACATTTTTCTACTTGCATCCGTTGAACAAACAGCAGAGAAGTGGGATAAAATTGCCGAGGAGCACTCTGTCCTTCCCTCCGCTGCCTTTTTCCCTTTCCCTGACAGCCGTCTGTTTCTTCCCTCCCCTCCATTTCTCAGCTTTTGGCGACAGTCCTTTCCCAGAAGGCGTCTGTGCAAGAATCCTCCCTGGGTGACGGCCCTTCCAAAGCGGCATCGTCGACATCAGAGGGGCCCACAGGTGCGTGGTGGACGGACGCTGCTCCGTATTGTGCTGGGCTCTTGCCTTTCCTGCTGGAGCTTTGCTTCTTGACTGCTTTCTCCTGACCTTTCCGGCCGGCTTTAAAATGACCCTTCCTTTTTGCTGCTGTCATGCCTTCGCTTGCTTCGGTTAGTATGGAACATTGGGCGGGGAAGAAGGAATGGGATCTGGGATGGAAGGGAGGGGGGATGTTTTGGCATCGCGATGAATGGTAGAAATAGGGGACCCCCTCCTTCCAAACTCCAAAAAAAACATGCACCCGTCTGGCTCTCCTCCCTTCACCGTTCCGAGGAACCATCTGGCACAGATCTGTTTATGGCCGTTGCATTCTTATTTCCCAAAACTGAACCATCCCTCCTTTTCGAAGCCGGATTTGGGGCAGTGTAACCTTTCCAAGACCCCCTTTGGGGGTACATTGTGGTCTTGGAGGACCCCCTTTTTGCTTTCCTTTTCTATGGAAAGCCTTGAGACGTAGCGGATGGAGGTGAGAGGATTTGGGTGGCAGATGGCACCGTTGTGATCTCCCTGCGTCTTCAGAGCCTCTCTTTTTTTTGCAAATGTCTCGCTTTGAAGTGCGAAGATCCTTGTTTTGTGGACTGGGGGCGGAAGGAGAACATGGTAGGCTTGGCTTCTTGCTTGCAGCTATACAGATCTGTCTTTTCCAGCAAAGATGCCCATGGCCTGTGAGTCTGACTTCAGCTTTGCTCTCCTGGATTTGGCACATCAAAGGCTTGGGTATCTTGGGGTCAATAGAGAGAAACAGACCTCCTTTTCTCTTCTGCATTTGAAGACTCATAGACATAACAATGTTTGGAAGCCTGGCTAATTCCGAACTCCTTCTCAATCCAGATGGGCTTCTTGCATGATGGTCAGCTTGCAAGTGAAAGGGTCAGTTGCCAAAATATTTGGAGGAATATGCCTTCAAGGTCACCTTGGTTGCCATCTTTGGCCAGGTCTGGCTGAGAGCATCTGCTGGGTGACCCCACTGTCTTTGCAAAATTTTCTGTGTGTTCCTTTTAAGGAGGCTTCCGTGTCATTTTGTGGTGAAATATCAGCACCGAGGTTTTAAAGGAAGCCCTATTTGGATCAAGTTCGAGTCACTCCTTGCAATTTTCAGCTGAAAACCGGAGGGAATTCACTGCCCCACTGACTGGGAAGCCCCCCATCTTCAAGGCTGTTTTTTCTATCTCAGTAGGCTATATGCTGCCAAGGATTCCAGCTTTTTTGGGGATCTGTGCCACCACTTGCAGGATTCTGGGATTTAGAGTTTGTCAAAGGACTCATGATTGTAATCCAAGGAACAGAGTTTATAGAGAAATACAAGGTTTCACAGTTTGCGAATGACCCAAGTAGCCATAGTCCTTGTGGGCATGATCCTTTCACTGTACCCTTGGTCTTGGGTGGGATCTGTAGTGAAACCTAGTCTCCGTTGTTTTCATACTCTTAGGCTCAAGCACTTGGAAAGCATCTGAGTGTATCTGCAGTATATAAATAAACCCATTCAACACCCCTTTAGTGGTTATGACTGCAACCTAGGAAACCCTGGTCTGTGTTAGCGTGTTACAGAATTTGGAACTCTGTTGCTATTATTGCCATTATTGTTGTTTCTTCTTCCTCTCCATCCTTTTCTTCTTCCTCATCTTTTTCCTCTTTCTCCTAGTCTCCTTTCCCTCTTCCTCTTCTTTTTCCTCCTCCTCCTCCTCTTCTTCCTTCTCTTCTTCTTCGTCCTCTTCCTCCTCCTCTTCTTTTCCCTCTTCCTCCTCTTCTTTTCCTCTTTCTCCTCCCCTTTTGTCTTAATTGGCTTCTTCTTCTTTCTCCTCCTCCTCCTCTTTTCTCTCTTCCTCCTCTTCTTTTCCTCTTCCTCTTCCTGCTCTGCTTCTTCTTCTTGCTCTTCTTCCTCTTCTCCTTCTCCTTCCTCCTCCTCCTCTTCTATTTCTATCCTGCTTTATCCCTCTAAAATGAGACCCAATCTAGTATATAATTTTAAAACCTTTTAAAAATCCAGTGCAAACGTTAAAATGGTATTAAACATTGAAACTATGAAAACAAACAGTGAAAACCATGACAAGCCTGTTGACCTACCTAAAATGCTTTGCAGCACCTCCTTGGCTCAGCCTTTGAAACAACCCTTCTTTGGGAGCCTGGCCGTGCTGCTGATCTCTAGTCCTTAGTTTGCTGTTCCGAGTTGCTTGTGTTCTGCAACAATGGCCGGCATTGTGGTTCATTGTGTTCCTTTGCCTGTTTTGCGGCAGGTACTTCCCGGACCCCGAGCCTGGGGGGCTCTTCTTTCCAGAACCAGCCTTATGGCGAACAGCAGCCGAAGAAGGTGGAGCCCATGTCAGAGGGGAAGGTGAGTCCCTCCCACAGATTGGGACAGATTGCAAAGCAACAAGGATGCTCCATTGTGATCTGTGCAGCGAGCTGTAGTCCCTTGGCAAAGAAAACCCTGCAAAACACATGGGGTGTCCCTAAGTCAGGTATGGGCCAACTTGGGCCCTCCAGGTGTTTTGGACTTCAACTCCCACAATTCCTAATTGCCTATGGCGGTTAGGAATTGTGGGAGTTGAAGTCCAAAACACCTGGAGGGCCCAAGTTGGCCCATACCTGCCCTAAATCAACAGGGGATAATGGGGCTGTTTCCTCTTTCTCTTTGCAGAGTTCAGAGGCAGTCTACCAGTGGCTTTGCAAGTTCCAGCTGCAGCTTTACGCCCCCCACTTCATTAACGCCGGGTACGACATCCCCACCATCAGCAGGATGACCCCCGAGGTGAGAGCCACCTGAAGAATGGAGGGAGGCTATGGGAACATGCATTGTCTCAGCACCATCCTAGCGTTATGCAACCCCCAAACTAAGCCTCACCGCAGTGCAATCTATGGGGAAAGAAGCTTGTGCTCTGCAGGTGCCTCCTCCCTGTGCAATGCAGAAGAAACAATATAAAGACCACAATCACAGGAGCTAGCTTTTAGAGATCTGCAGTGCATTTTTGCCCCATCCGTGTTATATGTAGAAATTGGGAATGTTCCTTTTTTTGCTGGGCCTAAATTAGTCCATAGTATCGTACTGCATGTATTTCAAGATCCCAGTTTTGTAAAAGCGGGTCTCGTCCGGCATTTGTCTGCTTCAGCTGGGAGACCGGAAGTCATATACAACATCCCTTCGGATGCCGTTGGACTGTATCTCCCAGCAGCTCCATAAAATGCTTTTTATGTAAGCCGCTTTGAGTCTCCTTGTGGAGAGAAAAAGCAGAGTATAAATAAACATAAACATAATAATAATAACATGATCTGGAGTTGGAATAGAACCAAACATTCCCTTGGGGACTTTCAGTACCGACGACTATTCCTTTTTTAGCTTTAGCTGTATGGGAAGAAGGCAGGATATAAACCAAATGAAATAATTTTTGCATTTGCTACAGGACCTGACGGCCATCGGGGTCACCAAACCTGGGCATCGGAAGAAGATCGCCTCTGAGATCAACAGCCTCAATATTTCCGAATGGCTCCCGGAGTACAAACCGGTATGGGATTTTTGTTGAATCGTACTTCCTTTTGAAAGGATTGCCACCTTCCTTAACAACACGCAGTTATTTTTCTTTTGGTTCTCTAAAAGCAGCTGAGATTCCGTATTGTGTGCTTCGGACCCCCTTGGAGGCAGAATTAGCAGGTTCGCCAAAGCTCTTACTAGAGAGTTCGGCCCTCCTCTAATTGCTAGGATCGCTCTATTCACTTTACCCAGACGTCGCTCCCACTCAGCAAGGTCTCTGCAATGTTAATTAAAGCCTTCCTTTTATTGCTTCCCATTGAGTGCAGCCTGGCATACTGGGGCAGGGAAGTGGGGAGGGGGCGCTTTAATTACTAGTTCCTTCTGTCCTCTGTCCTTCTTCTCTTTTCTCCTAAAAGAGGAGGATCAAGCCATAGGGAGAGACAGGCAGTAAATAACCACAATAGTTGTAGCAGTAATAATAATAATAATAATAATAATAATAATTTATTGTTTTCTCCTAAAAGAGGAGGATCAAGCCATATGGAGAGACAGGTGATAAATTAATAATAATAATAATAATAATAATAATAATAATAATAATATTTTAATCATTATTTTCTCATTAAAGAAGAGGATCAAGCCATAGGGAGAGACTGGATAATAATAATAATAATAATAATAATAATAAGAAGAAGAAGAAGAAGAAGAAGAAGTCATTATTATTTTTTCATTAAATGGGATCAAGCCATAGGGGGAGACATAATAATAATAATAATAATAATAATAATAATAATAATTATTATTATTATTATTATTATTATTATTATTTTCTCATTAAAGAGGAAGATCAAGCCATAGGGAGAGACAGGCAATAACAATAACAACAATAGTAATTCATTATTATTTTCTCATAAAAGGGGAGGATCAAGCCATTGGGAGAAATTATATTATGAAAAGAAAAGAGCAGCCACAGAGTTCAAGGAGGTGAACTACAGCTCTCTGGCGCAGAACCTTAAGTACCTCTTGCCCTTCTATATATCCCACGATTTTGCAGAATTTAACCATGGCTATTAAACTGGTGTGAAATTGCTATAGCTGTATAGTGTAGCTCAGAATAAAGAGCAGCCTATGGGACCATTTTTTGTGAACCCCAAGGGCCAAGAAAACATTTTTCAAATTAAAAAAAGATCCCCTCCAAATGTCACTTAGGGCCTGCTCAATGATTGTTATTGAAAAATGCCTCTCTTGGGCCTAACATTGTGGCGGAAATGGCCTCAACTTCCCTTAGGCTGCATTTGGGAGCCGAAAAGTAATAAAATCCTTTGGAAGTCTGGAATGGATGCTGGAGAGGAAATGCTAGAAATCAGGTCTGAAAGAAGTTTGGATCATGCAGTGAACAACCATAAGAAAACCTCCCAATTCCAGGGATTTCTGGATGAAACAGATTATCTAGATTCATTTCAGTCTGGTTTCAGGCCTGATTATGGAACAGAGACAGCTTTGGTAGATGTCCTACGTAGAGAGGGGAGCATGTTCCTGTTGGTTCTTCTGGACCTCTCAGAGGCTTTTGATACCATCGACCACAGTATCCTTCTGGGCCGACTTACTGGGATGGGACTTGGGGGCACTGTCTTACAGTGGTTCCAGTCCTTCCTGGAGGGCCGTATCCTGAAGGTGATGCTGGGAGATTCCTGTTCGAACTCATGGCCATTGACCTGTGGGGTTCTATTTTGTCCCCCATGCTGTTTAGCATACACATGAAACCGCTGGGAGAGGTCACCCGGAGTTTTGCAGCGTGGTGACACATGTATGCAGATGATACCCAATTCTACTACTTCTTTCCACTTAATGCCAAGGAAGCTGTCTTGACCCTAAACCAGTGCCTGTCATCAGTAATGGACTGGATGAGGGCAAACACATTGAAACTTAATCCAAACAAGATCGAGGTACTCCTGGTCAGTCGGAAGGCATACCAAGGAATAGGGATCCAGCCTGTGCTGGATGGGGTCACATTCCCCCTAAAGGCACAGGTCACAGTTTGGACTCGGCATTGAACCTGAAGACCCAGGTGTCGACCTTTGCACAATTAAAACTTGTGTGTCAACTGTGCCCATTCCTTGAGAAGGCAGAACTGGCCACGGTGGTCCATGCCTTAGTTACGTCCCGTCTGGATGACTGACTATAACATGCTGTCCATGGGGCTGCCTCTGAAGGATACTTGGAAACTTCAAAGGCTGGTCCAAAGAGCCGCATCCAGGTTGCTTACTAGAGCCGGCTGCAGGGAGCAGAGAGCAGCTCCACTGGCTGCCAATCCGTTTCTGGGCACAATTCAAACGGCTGGTGATTACCTTTAAAGCCCTAGACAGTTCAGGCCCAGGCTGTTTGGCCAACCGCATCCCCTTGTATGAGCCTGCATTCTGGGGCCTGAGATCCCCTTCAGGAGAGACCCTTTCTTCTCTCGGTCCCATCTCTATCTCAAGCCTGGCAGCAGGCTAAAACCTTTTTATTCAGGCAGGCAAGGTGATGGTTTTTAAGATCAGTTCAGGGGGTGCTGTAGTTTTTAACTTTGAATTTGTTTTAATGGTTTTTTTAACTGGGAATTTTAAAATAGTGTTTATATTTAATCCTGTTTTAATGTTTGCATATATTTTATGCAAAATGTTTGTATATTGTTCGTCTATTTTAAACTGTTATGCTGATGCTTTTGTGTTAAGCCACTTTGAGTCCCCTTCAGGGGGGATAAAGCGGGATATAAATAATAAATATAATATTAAAAATGAGAATCAGAATTTGTCTCTTCCTCCCCTTCCTAGGCCAACCTGGCTCTCTGGCTCTCCATGATCGGACTGGCCCAATATTACAAGGTTCTGGTGGAAAATGGCTATGAGAACATTGACTTCATCACTGACATCACCTGGGAGGACCTGCAGGAGATCGGCATCACCAAGCTGGGTGAGCGGGTAGCGGCACAATGGGCAACAGAACAGAGGGTCAAGGGGTTGTTGTTGTTGTGTGCCTTCAAGTAGACTCCAACTTATGGCATCTTTGCACTGACTCTGAGCAAGTGTGACCTGATGAGGTATTATTATATTTATTGTTGTTATTGTGAAATAAGACAGATGGGGGTCTCTGTGTCTGAAAGTGTGTGACCCAGTATGATGATGATGATGATGATGATGATATTAGTATTATTATTATTACTACTACTACTACTACTACTACTACCCTAAGGCAGATGGGAGTCTCTGTGTCTGAGAGTGCGTGATCCAGTATGGTGGTATTATTATTGTTATTATTATTATTGTGACTCTAAGGCAGATGGGGGTCTCAGTGTCCGAGAGTGTAACCCTTAGGTTTTGATGGCTGAGCAGAAAATCGACTTCTGTCCTCCAGAGCTGTAGTCCGACATTCAAACCACGACACCACAATGGTGGAAAGACGCTACCAAAGTAGCAGCAGTTGCCACGAGTTTGCACACCACATTCCTAGCACAATTACATGGAGGCCTCTCATTTGTAGGATGGCCATACATTTGAGTTGACTTGATGGTCTATCACTATCGCAAGTTAGGAATTAGAATAGTAGTAATAGTAATATTCTCCTTGCGGATTGAGGCAACAGGGAGTGCCCATTGCAGCAAGCTGTATGACTGTTAGGTCCCCATTAATATACTTGATGCTGCTTGTCCCCTAAATGCACAACAGCAGTTGACTTACATATCCGAAAAGATGCCATTTTCAATGCAGCAACAGGGTTCTTGCCGATGAGGGAAACGCAGCCTCCAGAATCCGACAGGCTCCCAACCTTTTTTAGCTGTCTCTTGCAAATACGCTTATTTTCGCAAGCCGTCGCCATGTGCTCCAACCCTCCATCTGTTCCGATGACCAATGTTGGCTTGAACCCAGCGCCTGGTCCTCCTCCGCCATTCGAGCCAGGAGAAGCTGTTCCTTTGCATCTTGTTTCACATGTTTGAGTGTTGCTATCGCAGTCCTGGGCGGGTTGTAAATAACGGCATGCAAAGAAGATAAACAAAGAAATATTTGAATTGATAAATGGACAGTATTTAACCTAGATGAAGGCAGCAGAACCCATTGGATGCTGGTCCAAACCATGTCTGGCTAGACAATGGAGTCTTCCTCTGGAATACAGATGTTAGGCTCACAATGATGTATGTTCATAGAATTGTATTTTCCTAGATCGGAGTGAACAATGTGTTTAGTTTATAAGCCACATTTTGCCCCCACGCTATATTGGGTGCACCCTAAAGACCACAAACTGGTCCCCAAAGTATGGGGATAAGGAGGTCATTTCCATGTTTTAAAGCCTCTGCCATCAAACGATTTTGACATGTTGTAGCTGGCCTTGAGCCGCAAGTAGAGGCTTGTAATAAGGTGTTGTTGTTGTTGTTGTTATTTTGGTTTAAAAAAGGGCTTTGGAGACAGATTTTGGGCACAACCTGGGCCAATTTAGGCCCAAGAGACACTTTTTTCAAAATGGCTTAAAACGGCCCCCAAACCCTCCTTGAACTTCCATTGTTGTCCACTCCTCCCCTAGATAGCCCATTGTCAACCACTTCAGGGTCCAAGGTGGCCACCAAGTCTTTGTGCTGACGGACTCACTATCCTTTCTTTCTTCCCCTTCTTCCTTCCCAATGTCTCAGGTCATCAGAAGAAGCTGATGCTGGCAGTGAAGAAGCTGGCAGAGATCCAGAAGGCTGAGTTCGCAAAGTACGAGTCTGGCACCTTGAAGAAGAAAGGGCCTCCACAAGACACGGTGGCCATCGAGTCGCCCCAGCAGGAGTCGGCTGAGTGCCAGTCGCCCAAGATGACCACCTTCCAGGACAGCGAGCTGAGCAATGAGCTGCAGGTGGCCATGACTGGCGAGGAGGGGTCTGAGAAGCAGGGCAACCATGTAGGGCACTTCCGCGAAGGGACAGCCTACCGCCACGGCCCCCGCTTGACCCACGAGAACAGCCTGAGTGGGAGGGCGAAGCAGATGAGCAGCTCCCAAGAGCTCCTGGGTGATGGGCCCAAACCCTCCAGCGGCACCATGTCAAAGAGCCAGGAGTACCTGGTGGAGGATGGAAAAGAGAGCCCAGCCACATTGCCCAAGGAGGTCCGGACGCTGCGCCATGGCCACAGCGTCAAGAGGGCCAGCGTTCCACCGGTACCCGGCAAGCCCCGGCAATCCTTCCCCCCCTCTGCTGGCCGCTACACTCCGCCACAGACACCCACCAAGCCCCGCCCCTCCTCGCCACAGACCCTCGGTATGCCACACGCCAAGGTCAAACCCACGCCACAGTTGTTGCCGCAGTCCGACCGCCCCATGTCTCCCCGCTCGCTGCCGCAGTCTCCCACGCACCGGGGCTTTGCCTACGTCATGCCACAGCCTGTGGAGGGAGATAGCCACATCACAGGGCCCCTAGCGCAAGCAGTGCCTGTGCTGCCCGTCTCAGTGCCTGTGCTGTGCTTGCCACCACAGGCTGCAGAAGGTGAAGAGGAAGCAGGCCGGCCGAAAAAAAGGGCACACAGCCTTAACCGTTACACTGTGTCAGACAGTGAGCAGGAGCGGGATGAACTACTGGTGCCCGACGCTGGGCCATACGCCACTGTGCAGCGAAGGGTTGGGCGCAGCCACTCGGTACGTGCCCAGTCAGGTGGCGATAAGAACGTCAACCGTAGTCAGTCATTCGCTGTTCGGCCAAAGAAGAAGGGGCCTCCGCCACCGCCACCCAAGCGGTCCAGTTCAGCCATCTCTAGCACCAACATGTCTGACGATTTCACAAAGGAAGGGGAAGAGGGTCTGGAGCCTCCTGAGGAACAGCAGCAGCAGAGGCGGGCCAGTGATTCTGGCAGTGTTGTGGACACGGGGAGCGCCGGGAGTGTTAAGAGCATTGCCGCCATGTTGGAAATGTCCTCCATCGGTGGTGGAGGCAGAGGCCTGGTCCTGCAAAAGCCACCCGGAGCTGGGAAAGGCCCCGATGGCTACTATCTACAGCCTGGTGCAGCCTTGCACCCGGTCAGTCCAGATCATGCACATGTCGCAACCGTCATGGCCTCCGTTAAGCACAAAGATGCCATTGGACCAGATGGGGAGGTGGTCAATCGCCGCCGCACAATCAGTGGCCCCGTCACAGGGCTGGTGGCCGCCGCTCGGCGGGAGCGCTCCGATAGCATAAAGTCTGAGACATCCAAAGAGAGCTGCCCAAGGGCTGATCATGGAGGGGCTCCGCAGAACACTTCCGGGGAGAATATCCCCTTTGCAGAGGAGGGCAGCCTGACCATCAGGCAACGGCCTAGGCAGATGGGGGTGGCCAGGGGTGAAGCTGCCGAGGCCCTGGCCCTCACCCACCGGCATGGCGACCTCTCTAAGGTGGAGGCTAGTGCCACGCTGAAGAGGAGGATCCGGGCAAAGCAGAACCAGCAGGACGGCGTCAAGTTCCTCCTCACGGAGTCCGACACAGTCAAGAGGAGGCCAAAGTTGAAAGACAAGGAGCAGGAGCCCGCCCCACTCTCAGTCTACCAGAATGGCACGGCCACCATCAAACGCCGTCCGGCTTCAGAAACGAGCAGCATTGAGGCCATGTCCCCTGCAGAGCAGCAAGAGAGATATGACTACGCCACAGCTCAGCCTCCTCCGGAAGGGGAGCCCAAGAAGGTTGTCAAGCCACCAGTTTCTCCCAAGCCTGTCCTACCCCAGAAGGTCTCGGGCCCACCCACGCCAACCTCCAAAAAGGCCCCGATTCCAGGCCCAGGGAGTCCAGGTAAGGGGTCTTGCTGGGTATGTAGTCTTGCTGGGGCAGACTAAAAGGATCAAGGGTCACCCACCACTTCTGTTCAACTTCACCATGCTTTTCGCCTATATCTGAGAAATGTCTATATTGCGTGTTCATGAACTTTAGACACACCAATATACTTATATGGAAATGATAGACATTAGGCAAGAATTGGGAGGCAGGTGATGAAGTTCAAGGACTGAAGGATGGTCCTTGGAAACTCCATCTTAGCCAGGTTTCCTGGGGGATGTTCTGCTTTGTGGCAGACACCTTGATTGTTTTCTTGATAACATTAAGACCAGAGTTCAATTTTCTCAGCACCTTGACCGAGGTGGTGGATCAAGTGGATGAAATGGATTGTTTAGATCCATTTCAGTCTAGTTTTGGGCTTGTTAATCAGACAGAGACTGCTTGGGCCACCTCAGTGAATGACCTATGCAGAGAACTGGACAGGGGGAGTGTGTCCTTGATGGTTCTGCTGGACCTTTCAGTGGTTCTTGATACCATCAACCATGGTCTCCTTGGATGGGGCTTGGAGGCACAGTCTTCTTTTGATAAAGTTCTTCCGTTCTTCAAGTTGGATTGGTTCTGAGAAACAGATAAGGAAGTGGTAAAGCAGTGTCTGTGTTCTCCTCCCTTGCAGAAGTGAAGCGCATCCATGGGACCCCTCCACCGATCTCTCCCAAGCCGACGCCGCCCCCCACCGCCCCAAAGCCCAAGGTCCACACGGTCCTCCAGTCGGTCAGTGCTAGCTCCACGCCGGCCCCATCGCCCGCCAAGCAGCTCGGTCCCACCGCCATCAAACCCTCGAGCACGCCTCCTTCGCTCTGCTCCAGCCCTGCAAAGCCCTTGTCCCCCGGTAGCGGAAGCGGGGTCCCCTCCCATACGGTGCCGGTCAAGCCTCCGCGGTCCTCTATGGCTGGGCCCTCGGTGGAGAGCAGCGTGGCCAGCAGCACTGAGAGTGTGCACCAGAAGTTGGAGGAGACCAGTGCCTCTCTGGCAGCAGCTCTGCAAGCGGTGGAGGAGAAGATCAAACAGGAGGATGGTCAGGCGGCAGAGTAAGGAGCACAAGGGAGCCAGGATAGGGATGGAGGAGGAGGACCAAAAGCTTGCTAAGGAGGAAAGGCGCTTGGTGGACGAGGCATTGGGTGGGAGCCAGAAAATGGCGGAGGGTTGACTGGGTGTCATTGTAGCTTCAGGAACATCCTAGACTTCCTATGGCTAGGATGGGTGATGCCTGGCTTGAAAACAGTCCATATGAAAGGGATCAAAACATGAGCCAGAAATGTGATGTACCAATGTAGTTTTAGGCTGCATCCATAGAAGGCTAGGGTCTAGATTGAGGGACGTCATAGTCCCCTTCTATTCTGCTTTGGTTAGTGGCTTTGTTGGAATAGCTGTGCTGCTTACAAGGTGAAGGTTTTTTGAGTGGAATTTTGGTCTTTGTCTGGTCGATGATGACCATGCTAACAACCAAAACATAATCCACAAACATAATCCATATTTATTCAATGCACAGAGGCAGGATGTTTTAAAACCTTGAAACCTAATGTAATGTACAGAGGCAAACAGTGCACTCTTTGTAATTTGGCCAAAAATGGTGTGAATTACAGTTGATGCCTGCTTAGAATTCCTTAGAATGGCGGAAGCTCCTTCTTTGGAGGCATTTAAGCAGAGGCTGGATGGCCATCTGTCAGGGGTGCTTTGAATGCGATTTTCCTGTGTCTTGGCAGAGGATTGGACTAGATGGCCCATAAGATCTCTTCCAACTCTAGGATTCTATGATTCTAAAAACAAAAGTGTTAGGACCTCAAAGCTTCCATCAATGCAAAAAAAAACCTCAAAACCTTAGGATGCATTTATGCTATAGAATGAATAAATTTTAATTGCCTTGGTTTGGTGCTATGGAACCAGGAGGCTGTAGTTTTACTGCCAAAGAATGCTGATGGCTCACCAGATTACAAATCCCAGCATCACATTGTATTGAGTAGTGGGAATTAAATTAGAAATGAGGTCCCTCAAAGAGGAACTCCAGCTTCTCCTGAAGTAGCTTCTGTTTTTGTTTTGGCTCAGCACTAAGATGACCATATGACATGGATGTCATGTGCACCCTCATTTTGGCTAGGTCATTTAGCTAAAAAATGTGAGCATTAGATCCTAGTAAGTAGGGTAACTGGATTTTGGAAATGCTTGTCTTATAGGCAACACTCAGAGTGAGACATTGGAGGAAGGGTATGGGAATGGAGAGGAGGGTTGAAGGAAGCAAAGTGTATGTTTCTTGCACTGAGATGTTCTATGATGTACTTTATGGGAAGTGCCTAGAACATTGAGATGTTCTCTGGCTCAGTCTATGAGAGTACAGGGAAAGGAGTGATAGACAAAGTGGGTGGTAAAGAGAATTGGTGGAGAAAAAACCCAAAGGTCATTGGTGTTTTCCTTTCCTTTGTGCTTCAGTTCAGCTGTGGAGAACAAGAGCACGGTGAGCATCCTGGATGACATCGGAAGCATGTTCGACGACTTGGCCGACCAGCTGGATGCCATGCTGGAGTGAGGGTTGTCTGATGACCCCTGCCAACCTCAGGACCTGCCAAGGGCACAAGGGCACAATCATCTCTGTGGAAGACCTCCTCAGAACCCGGACCCCCCTTCCCCTCCATCCTTTGAGGTTTGCACAATGAAGATATGATTACCTCAGGATTGTGCTGAAATGGACTTTTGAGATGCTTCCCTCCCTTGCATTTGGCAGAAGAGAACAGTGCCACCAACAACAATCAATCAAGGGGCTCTGTCTCATCATTTTCTGTTTCTCCCTTTTTCCCGGCCAAAACACCTCTTGACTTCAGGGGAAACGATGCCATTTTTCTTCCTGGGAATGAAGTCAAAGGGCCGATGCAATTCTTCCGATCCCTGGGAGACGAAAGCCAGTGCCGGATGTTCCCTTCTCTTCCCTCGTTGGATTTGGGAAGTGTTTCCAAATCTCCTCCCTTTCCCCACTCTGCAAGTATTAACAGTCCAAATATGCTATCCAAATGTGTGGCACAAGAAGAAGAAGAAATAAGTATTAGTCTTTCTCTGGTTCTTCTCGTTTTCCGTTTGGGGTTGACCTTTCTTTCGTCTTGGTGAACAGCTCTCTCTTTCTCTCGCCTTTCTGTGTCGGTTTTGTCCCTTGACGGAGCAATTGCGGATATTGCTCTCCATTATCAAGAAACACCGGAAGATATGGGAAAGCCCCAGCGGCTTCTGTCTCGCTGCATGCTTCGTTCCTTTGTCCCAAAAAGGTGTTCGTCTGCTCCTGGTGATGATGATGATAATGAAGATGTGACTGTGAGACGTTTTTTTGGTTCCGTTCCGAGATATTTTAGATATATTTAACGCTCCTTTACTCCCTTTTTCCTTGAAAAGCACCAGTTTTGGGACAGTTTTTTGCATGACCGAAAAAGGGATAAAAATAAAATCCTCTTGGCCCAAAATCCCTATGTAAATATCCCCCGGTGGCTTCTGCTGCCGCCATAGAAGAAGAATATTTATTCCCGACTCCTTCCTTTCCTCTCCTTCCCTTAAATATATATATATATATATATATATATATATGTAGATCTATATCTCTCTAGGCAAAGGGCAGTTCTGAGCATGAGGGACTTACGTTGCACTTTCCCTTTGCTTTGAGGCAATCGCTTCCAAAGAGTTTGAACCATCCCGGCCTTCCTTATTATTATTATTCTCAATGCGATTGTTCCTAAGAGGAGGAATGGGCTCAGTGAGGGACGGAACCAGGTTTTGTGAAAACCGTGATGATTGTGGGTCAGGTCTCTTTTAGCAAAGGTTTGGCGGAGGAGGAACTCTTCTTCCTTTTCACGCTCTTGATATTCCGAAAGCAAATTCGTGTTGAATGAATTGCAGCTGTTAGTTGGGAGGAGATTTGGAGCTGAGGCTTTCCGCCAGTCTTTGGTTTGACAGGGCATTGGTTGTTCTTGCCAGCTGTCAATTGAACAAAAGGTAGAGGATGATGGGCCTTGGAGTGGCAGGTCTTTGGGGAAGCAGCTTTGGGTTATACATGAAAAAAGGTGGTTAGAAATTCTTCCTGATTAACGTCAGGCTTCAATGTGTGCAAATAGGGAGCATCCCCAATCCACAAGAAACTACCATAGGGTGGGATACGGTGTCTTGCTAGATTGAGAGGTTCTTATAAGATTATAAGTGGAGCAGGTTTCAAATGGTAGCGTGGCATTGCTTTCATGAAGAAGGCCTGCGGAATGTAATGGGTTGCCCTTCATTCCCCCAAATCGTTCTTCCTTCCTTTCTCTTTGGTTGCAAGCAGGGAATGTTCAAACGCCGCAAGTCGTTTCAGAGGAAGCGTCTGAATGTCATAAGAATCACAGATCCGCTTGGGCTGTGGTTCTTATACATCCCATGTATGGGGTTTTCTGAGATCTTCCTTGGCCACCTTTTCCAGGGTCGGCACCGTTCTTAAATGAGCACAAATTTGGGGTGACCCAATGATAAAATACCCATTCTTTCATTCTTAAGCATCACCCTCCTTCTTTCCTTCCTTGCTTTCATGCCCAAATTCAGTTCTTGCTGGAGATGAGTTGCATTGTCTTACTGGACTCGAACCTCATCATGGGTATACTTAAACCTTTTGCAAGAATGTTGAGATTATCACCCCTCATAAAGAAGGATTTTGAGTGTTTTTGATGGGTCCTCATATCTATTATCTTCCTTCAACCTGTTGTGTTTGATCTGAACCTTGTGAGGATGCTGCTCCTCCAAATAGGATGGATTCCCACCTCTACAATTGTGTTGTGTCCCAAAGGCCTTTTCATGCATTGTATGGTCATGGGCATTATTTCCCCATTTTTTTGGCATCTTCTGAGATATATTTTCATCCCTCCAATAGCATCACCCTGCTGTTTAACTTCACTTTTCATATCCATTCCATGTAATGGCGTTTACACTTAGCTCATGTGTTGTTAGGGACTTCAGGCATTTCCAATCAAATGGGAAATTTAGGGTAAAAAAACAACCCATTTGCGCTTGGTCTTCCTCTCATTGTTGGCAATTCAGCAAATCATCTTCTGAATGCCCCTCTTCCTTGTCTTGTGTCTTCCCATCAATCCCAGTGGTATTATCAGAAAGCGGTCATTTCCGTAAGACTCTGGTTGCTAAATTCTTCTGACTTCTTCTAGGAGTTACTTTCTCTCCATGATGCAATTACAAGATTTTCCCGAGTCAGTAATAATCACATTATCCAAGAGATGAAATTCCCATTCTTGCCTCTGAAAACATCATCATAGCCTTAAAATACAGGTTGAGTCTCCCTTCTCCGAAATGCTTGGATCAGAAGTATTTGCCTATTAGATCTTTGTCTGGATTTTGGAATATCCGTCTTTGCCTATAGGTTCTGTAATTAATTTACGTTCTATATACATCAAGTGCACACAGCCTCATAATCAGATAGTTGAAAGTTATTTTATGCCCAATATTTTAAATAATTTTGTGCATGAAACCACGTTTGTGCACACTGGAAACAGTCAGAATACAAGGATAGCACTTTCTCAGTTTTGGATTTTTCATGTTTCATATCAAACCTTACTTTATGCACAATATTTTAAAATAATTTTGTGCACGAAAAAAATGTTTGTGAACCCCGAACCACCAGAAAACAAAGATGTCACTTTCTCAGTTCTAGATTTTGGAGTATTATTTTTGGGGATTTTAAAGTCTAAACAAATTGATTTAATGTTTCATAGAGACGTTGTGGAGACAGTTGAGGGTCATTTTATGCACAGTATTTTAAACAATTTTGTGCATCAAAATGCTTTTATGTTTCATAGGTGCTTTAAACCAAGTTTGTGAACATTAGAAACAATCAGAAAGCAAAGACTTTACTTTCTTGGTTTTGGGGTGTTTTGGAAGAAGGGACACTCAACCTTTCAAGCCTTTTCCTTTCTTTCTCTCTTCCTCTGCCATCTTCTTTCCACTAAAAAAGACTCAGAACCCCTCCAACAAAATAGGAATGAAAGGAAACTGTGAAAAGGAGGCCGGGGTTGTTTTGGAAAAGGATCTGAGTACTTTGGACTTCAACTCCCAGAAGCCCTTGCCAGCTTCTCCAACGGCCAGGAATGCTGGGAGCTGAAGTCCGAAGGTTGCAAATTGAAACAGGAGCACTTCTCGGTCGTCCAAAGTCTTTCCAACCCTTTTCACTTCTGGTTATTGTTCTATAGACTTAAAATGTTTAGTGACTGGTTTGGAAAAAAGAAAGAGATAAAAGTCTCGTTGGGTTTTTGTGTTGTTGTTTGTGCAAAGGCTGAAAGAGCCCTGTTTTACGAATGTTCTTTTTCTGTGCAAAAAACAAAACCGAAGCTCTTTTCGTTGGGAGGGAAGCTAGAGGGAGGGACAAAATACGAATAAGCTATATATATAAAGGAGTATTAATTTATTGACAGAAACTATTTAAGATGGGACTTCTTTTCCCCCCTGTTGATCCTTAAATACAAAAAAAGAGAGAGGAAAGGACTTTAATATATATGAAAGAAAAGATTTTAAAAATAATATTATTAATTGTATATTCAGAGATTTGAAAGAACTGGAGTTTAGTGTGACTTATTAGACTTATAACAATAATCAGCTGTGTGTCTTTGTGGTTGAGATCATTTAAAAAGAGTAGCACAATGTTTTTGAGACAAAAAAGGTACAGTTTTTTCAGTTTCTATGGAGATGTTTTGTTTTTGTTTTTGTCAGGTTCTTTTCCACACAAAAAATATATCAAAGGATGTGCCTTGTTTTATGAATCTTTTCTGGGTTGAGTCTCATCTCTTGACAATTAACATTTCTCTCCCCTCCTTTTTTTTAAATGTATGCGTGCGTCATGTATGTATGTATGTAAGTCTGCCTTTCAATGCATGTGTGTGGAAGTACCTCTTGTCTATACGCAGCTGTATATTTAACATACGGAAATGGGAGTCAGTCCAGTTGTATTTTTAATTTAAAAAACAAATCAAAATGGCATTTTCCGCAATGTGCGGTTTATTCCAGATGCGACATATATATCTATATATAGATATATATGTCTGTCTTTGCTATCTCTGAAACAATGTTCTGGCACAACTTTCAAGATTTCTTAATAAAGAGAGAGACAACATTAAAATAAATACTTGTTGTAAAGAGAAACGAGAGAAAAAACATTAATAATGTATCTTGAAAAAAACAAATATTCCAAGATTCTAATGCTGGATATATACATATTATATATATATTATATATATTTTTATTGATTAAGTTATGGAAAGTGTATTGTATTTCCCATCCTGTCAGAGCTATGCATCTTGCTGCCAATCCTCCTTTTTTCTGGCTTCGTGCGTCCCACCTGTATTATTATGATTATTATTTGATGGCTTCTGTGGTACTGTAAAGAATTTTGCTCTTATTTAAAAAAACAGTGTCTGGCTATAACTATTTAAAGGGAGAAGGGAGGGGAAACACACTGATGGTCTATCAAGGATTATTATTATTATTGAGGTTATAAATAGAAACAAAACTATTTGAAGGCCTGTTTCATGGGGCTGTGCTTTGTGCATTTGCGCCACTAATTTTCCATCCAGGAAAATGGCCCATTTCTTGCATTTATTGAAGTCCTTTGCTTTGACCAAAGAGAGGAAATCTGGGCTGTTTTGCTGGAAATGACATCCAAATGTTGGTCTTGACCTGGCTTGTTTTCCAAAAACAGTAAGTTAAAAACCTTTTGTTGGATGGGAAAAGAAAGCTGGTTCAGTTATTTCCTTTACTCCTGAGTTATCCAGTGTTTCAGAAGGGATTTCAAGGTAGTCCCTTTCACGATGGCAACACACAACAATGACACAAAGTGATTTAATGAGTTAAGCAAAGTTTACTTACCCCTTTTTGAGAATATCTCCTTAGGTCTCATATTGTACTTTGTTAATGGATGATGTGGTTATAATCATAGAATCCTATAGTGGGAAGGGACCCCCAAAGGCTATCCAGTACTGCCCCCTTCTTTCTGCCAGGCAGGAAGACACCATCAAACCCCTCCCGACAATCTCTGAATCACAGAATCCTAGAATTGGAAGGGACCCTAAAGACTATCCAGTACAACCCCCTTCTGCCAGTAAGGAAGATAGAATTACTATGTCATTATCCATTGTCATCATTATTATCATCATCATCAGACTCATATAGTTGGAAGAGACCCATAAAGGCCATCCAGTCTCTCTTCTCTCAGACAGGAAGACATCACCTGACCCCTCCCAAAAGATGGCCATCCAGACTCTGAATCATAAAAGGGGACCCTAAAGGCCATCCGGTAGAGTTGGAAAGGACCCTAAAGGCCACCTAGTCCAACTCCCTTCTGCCAGGCAGGAAGACAAAATTAATACATTATTATCAATTATCACCTATTATTATTACTATTGTTGTTGTTATTATCAGACTCATAATAGTTAAATGGCCATCTAGTCCAGCCCCCTTCTGTCAGGCAGGAAGATATCATCCAACACTTCCCAAC